TGAAAAGGCAGCTGTAGTTTGGGAAACCTAAGGTAGGCCACTTCCAAATTTGTGTCACGTTGACATGCATAACAGTTCAAGGCCACAGGGTCATGGTGTGTCTGTGCCAAGTGCCAAGATGTGCTTGCTGCAGCCTGTCGCCCTCCCACGAGAAAGGGGCTGCTACCCTGGAGCTCGACTGCCAGAGTATCCCCATCACCTGTGATGTTTACACTGGGGAGCCCCCGTGTCCTCGCACGTCTGTGTCTCATCGTATCACACGCCTGTGGTAGCTGTGAAAGGCCATGTTCTCTGAAGCAAGGCATGTGAGGGACCACAGATCTTTGGCTGTGCGGTCAACTAGCTGATGGTGTAGGAACTGCCAGAGGAGCCCCGTGACGAGAAGGACTAGGTGAGTAAAAGTCCTTCTCAACTCCCCTGTTTTGGAAAAGAGAGGGGTCAGCCTCACCGGGAGAGCATTGCTGCCTGTGCTGATGGATGAAGTTCGTGGATGGACACACAGGAGTTAGGGTGGGGTGGGAAGTGAGATCCAGATGGAGTCATAGCTTCCGCGATGGGCCCTTCTTAGAAATAAATTCTGATGGGGCATTTCTCAGGGTGTCTTGAGGCAGCTTAGATCCAACTACAAATGAAGAGAAAGAACTAGGACTCTGCGAATGGCTGCTGGTCTAGCTCATAGCCCCACCCATCCAAACTCTAAGCTACCGTACACAGACACAGACACACACAGACACACACACACACACACACACACACACACAAACAGGTTTGTAGAAAAGTACGAGCAGCCAGATTTGCCTGCAAGATCAAGAGGTCTTTAAAATAAACAGGATGTAAACTGGAGCGATGAGGCCTCTGTGCATGGCTCTTGTTGAAAAAAACAAAAACAGCAAACTTGACGAAAAAGGCAAGCTCTAGATAACCTGTAACATTGCCCCTCCTGATTATTAAAAAGGGAAGAGAAGCCATGTGCGGGGTTTATAAATTGTTCTCTACACTCAATCAATGCGTCTGCCATTCTTAGGCTGACACCAACTTGGTAAGGTCATAAACTGTCACGAGGTCATGATGCTCTCTGGTGCTCTTTTATGAAACGATAATTTTTATTGTGCAGTAAGGGTTATTGTTTCTCATGGCCCAAAGTTGCCTTATGCCCACCATGATATGATTCTTGAGTCTGTGCTGCTTCAGGACTGCTCTTGACCCAGACATCCCAGGCCTTCTAACTTCCCAGGCATGGCTGATAGAAGACTGGTCCATGAAGCACCCCTGGGCTGGAGTCTTTCCTAGGTAGCAGACTCCCAGGAAGAGAGCTGTAGTCGGACACTGGATGGGAATGATGGCCTGTGTGACCCTCCCAGCCACCTCCTTATCTTCTGTTACTGAGAGCTCAGTCATCCTTGACAGCTGTAACAGACAACCACAGACTGGGACTCAAAGAATAACCACTTATTGTGTGGAGTTTTACAAGCAGGAAGTGGACTGGGTTCCAACCAGGACTCTAGAAGGCTGCAGCGGCTACCTCCTTGCTATATCTACACATGGTAGAGAAAAACCTGGAGAGCATCCTGCGGCCTTACTCATAGGGCACTAATCCCTTCCAGGGAGCCTCTGTCCTTTGATCTAGTCACCCACAAAGCACAGAATGCCACCATTTGGGGAAATGATTTCAATATATGAATTTTACAGAGGCAAAGAAATTCAGTTCATAACAACAAAGCGGCTGAACAAAATCACGCGAGGAAAGAAGGAAGGTTTTAAGAGAGAAAAATGTAGCATTAACTGAAAAACAAAACCTCCTAGGCTTGGAAACCGTCACCTTTCAAACAGAAAGCCCACGGGCTCCTGCTGTAAATACCCAGTGTGCTGACCTTTTCCTGTCTCCAGTCTAGAACACATTCGCTAAATAACCAAAGTGTCCTTCTACACCTAGAGCATGTGTGAGCGTTGCTGCTGGTCACGGGAAGAGCAGAAAACCAACAACCCAGTCTATGGGCTGGAGGGAGGCTTGGTGGCTAAGTGTGCTTGCTGCTCCTGAAAAGGACTGGTGTTCAGGTCCCAGCGCCATGTCTGGTAGCTCACAACTGCCTGCAACTCCAGCTCGAGAGGATCAGACACCCTCTTCCGGCCTTCTCAGGCACCTGCACACATGTAGCACACCACACACACACACATTAAATATCAAAACCAACCACAACTCGGTCTATCATTGAGGCTGTTGGTCTGTGGGTCAAGTGCTTGCTTCTTACCCACAAAGCCCCAGCTTCCACCTCAAACACCACACAAGCTCGTCCCGGTGGCAGAGTCTATAAGCCCAGCACTTGAGAGGTAGAGGGACAAAGGTCAGGAGTTGAGGGGCATCCTCAGCTCCATGAGGAGTGTATGCCATACTGTACCCCATGAGGGAGGACAGTGCCAAACAGATGCAGACTTGATCTAAAGTCGTGGCATGTTTCTGTCCTTAAAATGCACATGACCTGCACCGCCCCTTTGCCTCAGAACCTGCCCCGCCTCTCTCTGCCCCACGGGAGCACTTAGGGATGGATGGAGAAAGGCTGCCCCCCTTTCTGGAGTTCTTATCCCTTTGCTGCAGCAGGTTCTAGAATGTTTCTTATGCAAACAAAGACTATTTTTAAAAAATTATATGAAGACTAATATCTGCAGTCAGTGTGGGGAGAGAGGGCCGGGCAGAGGGTGTGCAGAGGGTGTGTGTCTGCTAGTGGCCATGCAGGGGGTGAAGGGAAGTCCGGGAAGCATGCAGTGGTGAAGGCTGCCCAGCCTTGTCAGCACACTGAATTACGTACCTTACAGCAATGTGACGGGTAAATTTTATGCTATGTATGTTTTACTGCGATAAAAACTGCTAATTAGTGAGCCCAGCTGCCAACATTGCTGTCACTTAGGAGGCAAGTCTTCTCGTCAAGGACCTGTTTTGCACTGCGGGAGGATTTCCTTCTCTTGAGAGAGGACACACTCGTCCCTGGAGGCACCGTGCTATTGTTACTATCAGGCTACTGTTATGTTATCTGTTTTCATTACTACTGCACCATCGTTACTGCTGCTATCACTATTATTATCACTGTTACTGTCCCCATCAGTACCACCAGCATCGCTATGACTATTATTAACCATCTTAGATTCCTGCTTCTCTGATAAACACCTTGGCCTAAAGCAACTTGAAAAGAAAAGGGTTTATTTCAGCTTACAATCACATATAGTCCATTGTAATGAGAAGCCGGGGCAGGAACTCAAGGCAGGAACTGAAGCAGAGGCCATGGGAAAGCACTGCCTACTGGCTTGATCCCCATGGCTTGCTCAGCCTGTTTCCTTGTGTCACTCAGGACTAACCTGCCCAGTGGGGTGGCCCCTCCTACATCAACCCTTCACAGAGAAAATACTACACATTCCCACATGTGTAGAGGCAATCCCTCAACCGAGTTTCCATCTGCCCAGATGACTCTGGCCTGTGTCAAGGTGGCAAAAGATATCAGCCGGGACATTATTCTTATTGTTGTTAATATCTCATTTACTGTTGCTTTATGATTGCTATTACTGTTTTATTAGTACTGTGACTGCTTTATTATTGTCCCTATTGCTATTATTATTACTATGGATTTTATGTTTATGTAGCCCAAGAGGCATATTAATGGATACAAAGCTATTGCTGCACCCTAGAACTCAGCTGCAGATTCAAGAAGCCTGGATGCAAAATGTTAGTTTTACTGAATAGTCATGAAAAGGTGGAGGTGGATATTATATTATATTACATATATATATATATATATCATTGATTTCAGAAGTTCCTCTAAAATCATTCCTCCAAGATGATTTCCTGGTAGCAGTTGATCGATCCCCATTCTTCACGGCCCTTCACTCAAATCCTCTTCACCCCGAGCTTTGCCACTTTGCACATGATAGCCCAGCCGTCTGCTGAAGAAGACAGACGACCAAGTATGAAGTTAGTGTCGGTGCCAGTGTTAGTGCCAATTGGCAGCTTAACAAATGCAGACTTAACTAAGACGCAAGCCTTGGGCCCTTCTGCAGTGGACTGTCGGGTCATCTTAGCCCTTGGCTGCCCCTCTAAGGGTTACCCTTTGCAGGTCAATCAAGGTGGGAAGACCCATCTACCATGGACGGGACAGTTCCTTGGGATGGGACCCAGGAAGGAGAAGGAGTTGTTCACAAGCACGCATCACTCTCTATCCTGACTACAGATATGATGTGACCAGCTGTTTGAAGCTGCTTCCATCTGGACTTCCCCGGTGTGATGGAATGGGGACTGTGAGCTGAAATAGACCCTCTCTCCCTAAGCTGCTTTTGTTGGGATGTGTTAGCACAGCCACAAGAGAAAAAAAAAAAACCTAAGACACCAAGTGTGTCCCTCACAGGCTTCAGGAAGGTGTCTATACTACAGACCCTCTGAGTCGAGATGTCCTGACTCTAAGGAGGTTTTAAAGTGTGCCACACCAATGTTCTATGTTCAGGACAGTCTCCAACCAGTCTCATAATGTACTCAGTGTTTTCTCATAAAGGGGACGTCATGATAGCTGATTTTTCTGGGCTTAAACTGTAGTGTTCTGTAGGATAGGTGTAATTAGTGCATTTCCAGTTCATGATATAATCACACTGTGATGGTTTATCAAGACAGTCCCAGTATTAGCTGGAGGACAGCTACATGTCTTCACTAACATGCTTTGAGTGGCCGTCCTCCTTCCCTCTACCTCACATGAGTGGCATGACTGTCTGGTGCATCTTTGAGTCCCTGTCATTCAGCCTAGCGCCTGACTCCCTGGAACCTGGGACTTGTGGAATGACGGATGATGGGTAAAGTTGACTCCATAATTCCCCACCCCTTTCCGATTGCCTCCCTCTCCTTGGCCCATCGGGAGTCAATGAAATCCACAGCTCTCGTGAACTAAGAGGTGTGAGCACACCAAGACCAGGCTCCCCACAGTAGGACATTTCCTACCTCAGACCTGCACAAAGCCCGCAGCTCTCACCTCCTTTCCTTCTGGATAGGGCACAGGACAGGAGGACCAACCTCGAGGCAAACACATTTCTAGGTTTCATGTTTCCGTGGCTCTGCTCTCTGCTTTCCTTGGCTTTATCCCAAGCCTCTTGGGCAATTATTTTTGGCTCATTCAGAAATGGCTTTAAGCCAAGTTTTCGTGTCCTGAAAACTTGATGTAGGGCTTGTCTGCTTGTAGCATTTCTGGCATTACTGCTGGTTTCTTGGTAGTAAGTCTTTTCGTCCCTAACCCAGTTTTCTGCTCGTGTTCTGAGAAGCCGGCTGGCCCAGTAGGGAACAGAGTAGACATGAGTTCTGCAGGTAAGAGAAGTTTCTCGGATCTGTCTAGAATGCCCACTGGGTTTGATCTGTCCAGATTAGCAAAAGACATTTCAAATCTCTAATGGTGTGGTCAGTGGAGAGGCTGGATCCAGAGTGTGGCTGCTTCCTGTTTCCTGTGGCTGCAGAGTTCACATCAATGGGACTGAAAATGCATTGCCTTCTGTCTCCGGGCTCTAGCACTCTGTGTTCTTGCAGATATCTTAGACTTCTTCTTCTTCTTCTTCTTCTTCTTCTTCTTCTTCTTCTTCTTCTTCTTCTTCTTCTTCTTCTTCTTCTTCTTCTTCTTCTTTTTGTTGATTAGAAAACCGAGACACAGGAGGCTGGGGAGATGGCTCAGTGGACTCACGGCACAAGCATAAAGACCTGGGTTCTAATCCCAAGCAAACAAATAAGCAGCCATGTATGGCCATCTGCACCTGTAACCCACTGAAGGAAGTGGGTGGAGACATTCAGATCCCAGGAACTCTGGCTTGCACACAAATGTGTGCACATGTACATGCACATGCACACGCACATAATACCACACAAAAATAAATAAATCTGAAGCATAGGCAAGTAACTTGTTGTACTGTCTAGTTATATAGGAACTTGACACAAGCTAGAGTCATCTGAGAGGAGGGAGCTTCAATTGAAAAAAACACCTCCAAAAGGCCAGGCTGTAGACAAGCCTGTAGGGCATTTTCTTAATTAGTGACTGATGGGGGTGGGCCCAGTCCGTTGTGCATGGTGCCGTCCCTGGGCTGGTGGTCTTGGCTTTATGAGAAAGCAGACTGAGCAAGCCAGTAAGCAGCACCCCTGCATGGTCTCTGTATCAGCTCCTGTACCCACCTTCCTGTCGAATTTGAGTTCCTGTCCTGACTTCCTCCAATGATGAATCTGGAAATGCAAGTCAAATAAACCCTTTGCTCCCTGGCTTGCTTTCCTCATAGTGTTTCATCCCAGCAATAGTAACCCTGACAAGGACACCTTCTTCACTGCACAGCTATGCAGAATTAGGGTTAGGCTTAGATTCTAGGGGAGGGGATGAGTGGGCTGTCTCATGACCAGTGGCCTAAAGTTACTGTTTCATCATAGGAGGTCAACTGGAGGAAAACTGACTTGACCCAGGTTGTTTGTTTGCTTTTTTTCTTTTCTTCTTTTTTATTTTTTTATTTTATTTTATTGCTAAAAGGCATGAAGTTAAATTTCCTTTTGAGAGCCTTTTCTCAAGTGGAATATGCATTTATCCCAATCTTAAAGGAGAGACTAGTGGAAGACACTCACTAAAGAACAATCCGTTTTGCCGCAAGTCTGGACTTTCTAGGCCCCAAGCGGGAAACTAAACTCTCTGTCTCCAGGAAGGAGAAAGACTTGATGCCATTTGTGCCTTTCCCGGAGCGTTTGTGTGCTTTCTCTGTAACCTAAGGAGAGGCGATGGCATTTGATGTGTAGATGGGAGCTCCAATGAGGGCCAGCTGGCCGGAGTTGCAAGCCAGCACAGGTGAAGAGCCATCCAATGAAGGACACCCAACATAAAAGCAGGGCTCGGCCCCACCTGTCCAGGCCAAACCAGAAGGAGGGTCATCGCACTCTGGTCTTCCCAACCTTGCCCTGATTCCATGAGCCTGGTAAAAATGACCAGGAGTTATACCACCATATTCTGGGCCATTTCCATGAGGACACAGGATGCTTTCCTAATACATTTCTAGACACTCATGTCTGCATTGCCGGTCTCTGCACCCACTATTGCATCTATCAGGCAATATTCTTCATACACTGTCACATATCTTTGGTTTGATCCATCACTCCATGCTTAGTTTGATTCCCAGTGCTGTTTTTAACCGCAGCTCTATCAACTGTGTTTTTAATCACTTACTGATTAGAGAAAGACTGCTAATTTTATGAATTTTAACCGGTATTTCCTCTGTAGATACCCTCTGTGGATTTCTGCTGCTGTTGATTCCTTGTGTCTAACTGTGCCTCCTGATCACCGACTTCCATCCCCTTTCCTCTTGACCCTTGTCCTAGTTTCTTCCTGTTGCTGTGATAAAAACCACTCTGGTCAAAAGCAACTTAGGGGGGGCTGGAGAGATGGCTCAGAGGTTAAGAGCATTGCCTGCTCTTCCAAAGGTCCTGAGTTCAATTCCCAGCAACCACATGGTGGCTCACAACCATCTGTAATGGGGTCTGGTGCCCTCTTCCGGCCTGCAGGCATACACACAGACAGAATATTGTATACCTAATAAATAAATAAATATTTAAAAAAAAAAAGCAACTTAGGGGAAAGGGAGGTTTATTTGGTTTATAATTCTAGGTCATAGACCATCACTGAGGAAAATCTGAGCGGAACTCAAGCAGAAGCCATGAAGAACACTGCTTCCTGGCTTGTCCTCTGGGTCTTGCCCTGGCTTATGCTCAGCTGGCTTTCTTACATAGCCTAGTCCCACCCACCTATGGACGGTGCCACTCCTAAGGAATGGGCACTCCCATATCTATCATCAGCCAAGACAGTTCCTCGGAGACTTGGCCACAGCCACTCTGATCACAAGTCTTCAGTTGGAATTCCCTCTTCCCAGGTGTCCTTGTTAGGGTCTCTGTTGCTGTGAAGGAACACCGTGATCACAGAGACTTTTCCAAAGGGACACATTGAATTGCAGCAGCTTACCGTTCAGAGTTTTATCATCACGCTGGGACGTGGCGGCATTCAGGACCACGTTGTGCTAGGGAAGGAGCTGAGAGTCCTACATCTTGATCCACCAGCAACAGGAAGTAAACTGTGTTCCATAATTAGCATAGCTTAAGCAAAAGGCCTCAAAGCCCACCTCTACAGCGACTCACTTTCTCCACCAAGGCCACACCTACTCCAACAAAACCACACCTCCTAATAGTGCCACTCCCTTTGGGAGCCGTTTTCTTCAAACCATCACACTGGGTAACCCTAGATTGTGTCAAGATGACAACAAAAACTAACCAGGACACCTCTGCAACCATGTAGCCCTGCTTCTGGGTCTCACATTTTAGATGGATACTCTGTAACTAAGTAACCCTGTTTCTGGGTCTCACATTTTAGAGGACACCGCTGTAACCACTTAGCTCTGCTTCTGGATTTCACATTAAGATGCCATATGTAAGTGGGACCACTTGCCTGGGTAACTTCATGCAGCACAATGTCCTCCAGGCTCATCCAGTCAATGTTCAAAATAACAAATTCTACTTAAGACAGTCACATGATTCAAAAACCAAGAGCAAGTTTGTTTCTTTCTTCCCGTGTTTGTAAACCTTTTTAACTTTTTATTATATTTGTGCATTGCCATGGTCTGCATCCACTTCCAAATAGATTCTTCCCACCATAGTATTTTGTTTATTTTCCTTGCTTTTTATTTAGCTCCTTTCCCTTTAAATTTTTAAAATTTGGTTATTCAACTTTCTTTAGTTCCCCTTTCCTTTTCTGTCTCCGTTCCCACATACATTTCTAACTCTCAAAGCTCCAAATGTTAACTCCTTATTCACAGGCATCTGGGAACACTCTGAGCTCTGGAATATTCTACCAGCTCTAAGTCAAACTTCCTACTTGGCAAGAGCCCCTAACCCTGACAGCAGGTTGCAGCCTTCTCACTGCGGCGTGGTTTTGACTCTCTGCAAGTCTTGTTAGTCTCAGGATCCCAGGCAGTCAATTCCTCCCTGACTCACTGCTGAATAAAAAACCCCAGCTCTGCATTAAGCACAATGTGTTCAGTGGAGGAGAACATCCTCAGATATCCCGTCTTTCTGCCTGTAGGGAAAACAGAGCCTGGCTGAGTTGTGGTGGTGCACGCCTTTATTCCCAGCACTCGGGGGCAGAGGCAGGCAGATCTCCGTAAGTTCGAGGCCAGTCTGGTCTGCAGAGCAAGTGCCAGAACAGGCTCCAAAGTTACACAGAGAAACCCTGTCTCGAAAAACCAAAACCAAAACAAAACCAAGAGTCCCGAGCCATGAATTTCCCTTCCTGGTTCTCATCTATAGACTTTGAGTCTTTCTCATTTTTAATCAGAAAATTCTCAGCAAGGTCTTAATTTCTGCATGTTTTGGGTCTTTATCAGGCATCTTCATGTGCTGTCTCCCAACCACCATGATGTGCTGCCCAAGGTCTCTATCATGGATGGGATCAGCATTTCTAATGGTACAACAGCTAAGTCTGGCTTAAAGGGAAAGATCCACTATGGTGTAACTTGTGCCAACAGTTCATTCTCCACTCTGAAAGTTGCTACTGCCTCCTTCATGGAGGGATAAATCTTAAATCTCCCCAGCCTGTGTCTGCCCTGCCTGTAACTGCAAAGTGATGCCTTATTTTCTCTAATCTGTATAACCTTTGAAAGTGTTTTTATTTTTTATTCTTCTTTTCCTTGTGGTAAAATATGCATGGCATCTTAGGTGTAGTTTAATGGTATTAAGTTCAGCATAAAGTGGCGCCACCATCATGACCCTGTCCCTGCACATCTTCTTCCTGCCTGAGGAACTTAGACTCCATTCTCACTGAGCACAGGTTAGCTCCTTATCCCTAGTCCATGGCCAGCCCCAGCAACCATGGTCAGACTTCTGTCTCTCATAACTGCTTTAACTAGAAGTGTTTCCAGCTCCAGCTGTGAACTGCAAAGATTGGTACCAGGGAGAAATTAGTCCCTCTGCTACCTGAAGTCCTTCCCAGCCTTTGAGGCTCCTGCTGTGTTATGGATTCTGCCTACTGAATACGTGAACTCAGGAGGCAGGGAGGGAGGAGAGGAGAGGCATATCCCACCCCAACCCCCCATAATCTGGAAAATGAATACAGAGAATTTCAACGGAGACAGATTTCAAGTCATATGATATTTTTGTGGGAGAGAAAATTGGGAGTGGATATGATCAAGATATACTGCGCACACATATATTATCAAAGAATAAATAAAAACATTCCTAAAAAGAATGTTCGATACCAATTCAAACATCCAAAGTTGTTCCTGGGAGTTAGGGTGCCGTGGCTAGGGACACTTTGAAAGGCTGCCTGCCTAGCGGAACAGGTCTATGCAGATTTTCCCATGCCCGTTCTGGGACTCCGGCAGGGCCATTTTCCCATCTATTCAAGGCCTCCCATTCATTGGGCTACAATGGCTCACTTGATCTAACCGATGACCCAAATAGCTTCAAGTAGCTCTCCGTGGGTGGCCAACTAATTACGGAGGGTGTCTAGTTACAGCTGCCCAGACCAGGTACCTTGTTTATCCCATAATGGCTCTACGAAGGGGATGGGCAGTGTCCTGATTTAGATGGTCCTATGATACCCTCTCTGGAGAGGAGAAGGGAGAGGCCCGTCTGTCCCAGCCATGGGCACTGCAAGCTAGGGGAAGAAAAAGAAAGAGAAGTGACACAGCAGGGTGGCAGAACACTGAGCTGGTCAGTCTGCACCTTTCCAGTCTTGAGGGGACCGTGCATGCATGGAAGGGACCCATCCAGACCAAGGAGAGGCAGAGATCAAGAGTTTACAAAACACACTACAATCTGTCCGGAGTATGTGAGGCCATAAACAGCAAACTACACAGAGACATTCTGGAGAGGACTTGATGGGAGAGAGCATATATGTTGGCGCTCAGGGAGTGTTTCCGTGACACTGTGCCCTGGTTGTTTAGGTATTGCCACATGAGACACTTCTGTGGCTCCTATCTGCGTGGGTAGGTAGACATTTCCCTCCTTTTATGAGCAATGTTTTGCAGGAGGACTGGCTTCCTGTAAAAGGCAGCTCGGGAACCCAGAGGTTATAGTCCTCATGATCAAACCTGCTCCAGGGACGTTCTTGGGCTGGCAAATGGCTCACTGCGTAATGGTACTTATCACCAAACCTGATGACCTAAGTTTCATCCCCAGAATCTACATGATAGAGAG